TTATTTTTTGTTTTGTTCATCTATCCATTGTTGATAGTGGTGTGTTGAAGTCTCCCACTACGTATGTGTTTTCTCTGATGTCTGTTTTCAGAGATGACAACAGTTGTCTGATATATTTTGGTGCTCCTTCATTTGGTGAATATGTTAATGAATGTTATTTCTACTTGAATTATTGTCCCCTTGATCATAATGTAGTGACTGTTGGGGTCTCTTTTCATCTTTTTGAGTTTGAAATCTGTTTTATCTGATATAAGTATAGCTGTTCCTTGCTTTCTTTTTTGGTCCATTTGCTTGTAGGATTGTTTTCCATCCTTTAACTTTGAGTCTATTTTTATCTTTTGTACCTAATGTGTTTCCTGGAGACAGCAAAAGTTTGGGTTTTGTTTCTTAATCCAGCCTGCAATTCTGTGTCTTTTTATTGAAGAGTTTAGTCCATTTACATTTAGAGTTAATATTGATATGTTAGCATCTGTATTTGCCATTGTGTTTGTCTTTCCTTTGATTTTATTTATTTATTCTTTTAATAACTTTTTTTTTGGCCTTCTTTCTTTGTTATTTGTCTCTCTGAGGTTCTGGCTTTAGGATTCCCTGTAGTATTTTTTGGAGTGGGGCTTTATTCGTAATGAAATTCCAGAGTTTCTGTTTGTCTGGGAAGGTCCTTATTCTTTCTTCATAGAGGAAGGAGAGCTTTGCAGGATAGAGTATTCCTTGTTGGCATCTGTTTTCTTGGAGTCTGTTGACTATGTCCCTCAACTCTCTCCTTGCCCATAGTGTTTCTTCGTAGAAGTCTGATGTCAGCCTGATTGGTTTTCCTTTGAATGTTATCTGTTTCTTCTCTCTTGTCAGCTTCATTATTTTTTCCTTGTCCTGGATTCTTGGGAGCTTTACTATTATGTGTCTTGCTGTATTTTTCCTTTCGTCGTGGAAGTTTGGTGTTCTTCTTGCTTCTTGTATATCAATTTTCAGCTCCTTCTTCACATTTGGGAAGTTCTCTTCAATTATCTCCTGGAATATTTTCTCTGTTCCTACATCTCTCTCCTCTCCTTCTGGAATTCCTATAACTCTTATATTTCCATTCCTCATGGAGTCAGATAGTTCCCGAAGTCTTTCTTCGGTCTTTTTCCTTCATACTTCTCTTTTTCTATTTTGGTTCTTTTTATTTCTGTGTCTTCAAGAGTACTTACTCGTTCTTCCATTTCATCTATTCTGCTTTCATTGCTTTTCCCAGAGTTCTTTAGTGCCTCCATTAATTCTTTGATCTCCTGCATTTCTTTTACTTCCCTTTAGGGACTCAATTTAATTCTTCTGATCATTGATTATTTTTCCCTTATCATTGTTTTCCTTTATGAGTTCTGTCACTTTTTTAATCATGCCAATTTTAAATTTTCTTTCTGGAAGGCTCAGAAGTTCTTCCAAGTTACTGTCGTTGCAATCTGGGGTGTGGTTTTCTTTTTGTGGTGTGCTTTTTTCCTGAGGAGTTGCTAGGTTGTGTGTGGTCCTTCTACTCCCTACTGTCTGTTTTCTAATTTGCCGTATGCATTGGGACACTGTGTTGCTAGGACTGGCCGGCATCTTCGGTGAACTTCTCTGCACCCCTCTTGTTCCTCCGGGAGCCATCTGTTGGTTTCAAGCCCTCTTTACTGAAGAAAGGTCCCTGTTCTAAAATGCCAATGCGTGGACACACTCCCCTGCATGCCTGGTCTGCCCCGGCGGTGGGTTCCCGCTCCCCCTCTGGGCTTGGACTTCAGGTCAGAAGGGGCCTGGCATGGGCAAACTTCCCAGATCACCTCTGGCTCCTCCGGGAGCCTTCTGCTGGTTTCAGGCAGTCTTTACTGAAGGAATGTCCCTGTTCTAAAATGGCGATGTGGGACGCACTCCCTGCGAGTCCAGTCTGAGGCACACTCTTCTGTGCGCCTGGTCTGCCCCGGCCGTGGGTGCCCACTCCCCCTCTGGGCTCAGACTGCTGGTCGGAAGGGGCCTGGCATGGGCTAACTTCCCAGCTCACCACTGGCTCCTCCAGGAGCCTTCTGCTGGTTTCAAGCATTCTTTACTGAAGAAAGGTTCCTGTTCTATGGGGTGCTGGTGATTTTTTTTCTGGTTGCTAGGTGGCGCCAGAGATCTCTCCTAGTGTCCTTGGGGAGCTGTTTTTTTCACCCTGTGGGACAGGGAACAGAGTGGGAATGGTGGGGAAAACCTCAATGGCTTTGGGGTGCTGTGTCTGCCTTATGCCCCACCATCGTGGGGAACCCACGCCCCAAATTTCGTGCCCCGGGTCTCAGTTCAAAGCCCTCAGGTCCAGGACATGGGCTGTAGCCCAGTTCAGTGTCTGCAGAAATGGCGCCTTTTGCACCCCGCTCCCGTGTCCGTGTCTGGGCACCTGTTTTCTGATTACTCAGTGAGGGACTTTCACCTCAGTGAGGGCCCCTGCGCATCTCCCTGCAAGCCTAGGTCGCAGGCGTGGGGACCTGGGCAGCCGCAATCCGCGTTTGCTTTTCAAGCACACTGCTTTTCCGCACAAGCTTACGAGCTGGCCTGGGGCTGGCTGTGTGTAGGTCTCCGGGGGTCTTTGTTTTTCTCTAATGGTGCCTGGAGCCGTTCGCTCACCTCCGCGCATGAATCCTGCAGGGTTCTCCACAGCTCCAGTTCACGGTGTGTGGTGGCTGAAATAGTTACTTTCCACTCACAGTCCCGCTTGATGCGTAGTTTGTTCTTGTTGGTTGTTTTTTTGTTTGTTTGTTTGTTTGTTTTTTCCTCCTTTCTGTTGGTCGGATAGTACCAACTTTGTGGATGGGGGAGGGCAGCAGGTTTCTGAGCTTTCCTCCCTTCTAGTCCTCTTTCATGGCAACTTTCTTCTTTGTGTAGTTTGCTGGAGTCGTCTGTTTATCTTCCGTGTCCCAGTTCTCACTGGGACCTGCCGCTTTTCCTCCCTATTAACTTTTTTTAAATGGGAGATCTTACTCACAGTGTTTCCTCGCCACCATGTTAAGAATCAACAATTTCAATATGGCCACCTGACCCAAGACAATTTACAGATTCAAGTAATCCCAATGGCAGTCTTCAAAGAAATAGAACAAACATTTGTGTAATTTATATGAAGCTACAAAAACCCTAAACCAAAGCTGTACTGACTAAAAAGGGAAAAAATAGTGGCATCCCAATTCCAGGCTCCATACTATACTATACAGCCATAAAAATTAAAACATGGTACTAGAACAAAGATGCATAGACCAATGGAATAGAATTGAAAGCCCAGAAATAAGCCTATACTTATATGGACAATTAATCTATGACAAAGGAATGAAGCATATACACTGGAGCAAGGAAAGACTCTTCGATAAATGATGTTGGGAAAACTGGACAGCAACATGCAAAAGAATGAAATTAGATCACTCTCTCACACCATACATGAAAATCAACTCAAAATGGATAAAAGATTGGGTGTTAAAGACCTGAAACCATAAAGTACACAGAAAACACCATAAGTAAAACATGCGTGACATAAACTTCAGAAACATCTTTGCAGATTCATCCCCAGCAGCAAAGAATCAAAGTAAAAAATAAACAACTGGGACTATATCAAACTAAAAAGATTCTGTACAGCAAAATAAACAGTAACCAAAACAAAGGGACACTCTAATAGGAGAAAATATTTACACAGCATACATCTGATGATGGACTGATCAACAGAGAGCTCAGACAATTCTACAAAATGGGAGGGTGGAAGGGGAAGAGCTAAATAGGCACTTCTCCAAAGATGACATGAGGATGGCCAACAGGCACATGAAACAATGTTCATCATCACTGATCAGGAAAATTCAAATCAAAACCACAGTGAGATACCACCTCATACCTGGAAGAATGGCCCATAACAACAACAAAAAAAATAGAGGGCCTCCCCAGTGGCACAGTGGGTTGAGCACCACGCTGTGAAACTGTCCACACGCTCTACAGCACAGGTTCGATTCCTGGCCAGCTAGGGAGAAACCCACATGGTGTGGCAGACCTCTCCTGTCACACCCACTGCTCCCCTCAGCGGTGTATTTCAGTCGTCTGCCTGTTCTGTTCTCCACTCTGTCTCTGGTGAATCCTCTCACGCTCCCACGCCTCTGACATGTACCCCAGTTCTTCTATAAATAAATAAGATCTTTAAAAAAAATAGAAACAACAAGTGCTGGTGAGGTGTGGAGAACAAGGAACCCTCTGACACTATGGTGGGAATAAGACTGGCGCATCCCCTATGGAAAGCAGTGCAGAGGTGCTTCACAACTAGAAATGCTTCTGCCATATGACACAGCTACCCCACTGATATCTACACAGGAAACATAAAAACAGTATTTTGAAAGGAAATATGCACACCTATGTTTACTGTAGCACTAATTATTATGGCCAAGATGTGGAAACCACCTGAATGCCCCAGAACAGATGAGTGGGTCAAGAAGATGTGGTATACATACACAGTGGACTACTACTCAGTGATCAAAAAGATAAACTCAGGCCTCCCTGGTGGTGCAGGGGTTAAACACAGCACTATCAAGCTAGCCACAGCCACTACAGCACGAGTTTGATTCCCGGCTGGCCAGGGAGCAACCCACATGGCGCAGCAGACCTCTCCTGACTTGCCTGCTGCTCCCCTCGGGAGAGTATTTCAGTACATCTGCCTGTTCTGCTCCCCACTCTGTCTCTGGTGAATCCTCTCACCACCACCCCACACCTAGGTTACATCCAGTTCTTGTATGCATAAATAAATCTTTAAAAAAAGAAAAGATAAACTCATGCCATTTTCAGCAACATGGATGGAACTGGAAGGGATTATGCTCAGTGAAATAAGCCAGGAGGAGAAACAAATACCAGATGGTTTCCCTTATATGTGGAATATATAGAAACCCAAGGATCAGACAAACTTCAAAACCAACCCTTAAAAGCTGACCACAGATCTGAAGCATCCAGTAGGGGAGGGGAAAAGGGGAGAGCACAGCAGTAGAGGATCAGGGGTAATCTGGTGGTGGGACAGTTATGGTGACCACACCTGAGGGGAGAAATCGTGTATTGTGGGGAAAAAAAGATTACAAATGCAAAATAATGGTAATTCGATAAAAATACATTAAATTGAAAAAATTAAAACAATTCCATATAATTCAGCTATTCCAGTTTTGGATATTTACCCAATGAACACATTAATACAAATTCAAAGAGACATGTGCAACCCCATATTTACAACAGCCAAGAGCTGGAAACAACCTAGCTGTTACTGAGCAATTATTGTGTAAAAAGTACATGTACCCAGGCCTCCCTGGTGGCGCCAGGGGTTGGGCACCACATATGAAGCAATCCACAGCCTCTGCAGCAGGAGTTCGATCCCCGGCCAGCTGGGAGAAATCATATGGTGAAGCAGACATTTCCTTTCTCGCCCGCTGCTCCCGTCGGCACTGTGTTTCAGTCACTCTGCCTGTTCTGTCCCCCACTTTGTCTCTAGTGGATCCTCTCAAGCCCCCCACATCTCTGGCCTGTACCCCATCTCTTGTATACATAAATACATAAATCTTTTTTTTAAAAAAGTACATGTATCCAGCATACTACCATTCAACTATTACCAAGACAAAATCCTACAATCTGTAATAGCTAGATGGATCTACAGGGCATTACGCTTAATGAAATAATTCAGACAGAGAAAAACAAATGCATGATTTCACTTACATGTGGTAGGTACACTGAGAAGCGAAACAAACTAAATAAAACAAAATTAAACTTTCAGACCATGCAACCAAATTAGCTTATCAGATACCACTTCCAAGTCACTCTGAGGATTAAGAATGGGGTCAAAACTGGATTTTAAATTGTGCAAAACAAAGCTTTTTCCCCCACTGAATTTCTAGAAATTACCAGTAATGCAGAGTGAAGGATGCAGATCACCTGGAGAAAGAAGGAGGTTAAGTTCAGGATGAATCACCATGAAGACTTGTTTTTCTTCAACAACTAACCCTCACTTGTTCAATTTAAGTAGGGGTCTGAGACCTCTACACAGCAAGGAAAGAAAACATAAGGGTGGATTAGGAAATCTGGAGGGAAGGCGTCCTCACCAGGGGACCAGTGTCTGCAGTTTTCAGGCATCATATCCCTGAACGATTCCAGCTGGACCTAATGCTGGACCTGCACTCCTCCTGGGCGAACACTGTGGCCACATCTCCAAGTGGCAATCATTCCTGAAATACAAATAACACCTTTACCCAGTGCTCATGGGCAAAGTGCATAACCTGACCAAAGGTTTAAAAAAGAAAAAAAAAAGTTAAAAAAAAAATGGTTCTAAACAACTGTTTATCCAACAAGATTTTTTTTTTAAACATAGTGACATACTATAATGTAATCATTAACTCTTAGGAAAGAGGGGTCCACAACAACACTACATGTAAGATGAGCAAGACTGCAGCCATTTTGAGAAATAACTGTCATCTCAAAAGGGCACAGCTAGTTTCGTTTCGGGGCAAAAACCACAAGCCAAGGGTAAAAGAAACCTAGCTGGCACCATGAGAACTATCCAATCAGGGTGGACCCTGCCCCAGGTGTGAAAAGTCCCCGCATCCTGTCAACAAAGTACAAAAACAGCTGGTTGCTCTGGGAGGGGGTCCCTCTCTTAACCTGATGAGACTGCTGTGTCAGTACTCCAGGCAGAGTTGGGCCCTAGCTTAAGCTAGCAACAAAGCCTTTTTGCTTTTGCATCTCTGGCTCCGTGTAGACTCTGGGAACCCTGGATGGAGTTGAGGCGCCAACTCCTAACATTTTGGGGGCTCGTCTGGGATTCCCAATTACTACACGAGGTGGACCCTGCCACAGGTGTGAAAAGTCCCCGCATCCTGTCAACAAAGTACAAAAACAGCTGGTTGCTCTGGGAAGGGGTCCCTCTCTTAACCTAATGAGACTGCTGTGTCAGTACTCCAGGCAGAGTTGGGCCCTAATTAAGCTAGCAACAAAGCCTTTTTGCTTTTGCATCTCTGGCTCTGTGTAGTCTTTGGAAACCCTGGATGGAGTTGAGGCGCCAACTCCTAACATACACACTATTTTCTAGAAGACAAAGGATAACATTAACAATATAAGAAGATAAATTTAATATAAAAAAACTGAGAAAGCAGGGCCACCCGGTGGCACAAGGGGTTAGGACGCAACCTATGAAGCTAGCCACAGCCACTGCAGCACTAGTTCGATTCCTGGCCAGGAGCTGCCCACATGGCTCAGCAGGCCTCTTGTGACTCGCCTGCTGCTCCCCTCAGCAGTGTGTTTCAGTTAGTCTACCTGTTCTTTTCCCCATTCTGTCTCTGATGAATCCTCTTAACCCCCACATCTCTGGCCCCCCACATCTCTGGATAACATGAAGGCTTGAAACACATTCATTTTTGATTATTGTGTCCATGTAACACAGAAAGGCTGTGTCTATTTCAGTTGGGAAAGTCAGGGTGACTTAGAAGCATTCTCAAATTTAGCAAGGACAACATTGTCATGGGCTGTTATAAAATGCAGATTCTGACACAGGAGTTCTGGGTGGGGTGTATTTCTGTGTTTACAAAGCTCGTGTTTTACATCGGGTGCTGCTGCCTCTGACCCAAGGACCACACATTTGTATAGCAGAGAGGCAGAGCTACAAGGGAAGAACTCAGGTTGATTTTGGACTGAAAGACTTCATGGAATTTTTTTTTAAAGATTTAGTTTATGCACAAGAGCTGCGGTGTAGGCCAGAGATGCCAGGGAAGATTCACCAGAGACAGAGCAGGGAGCAGAACAGGCAGATTTACTGAAATACACTGCTGAGGGGAGCAGTGGGCGAGACAGGAGAGGTCTGCTGTGTTCATGGAAATTAAGTTTTAACAGGACAGTAAGCATAACAAAATATATTTTTTATACTTCTTATGTGCTAAGAAGTGTTTTAACGTATTAATGCCTGAAAGTCATAATTAGTCTCTAAGAGCAATATTCTATTACAAGATACTTTGTCAAATATCCAGCATATAGAGGCTCCTGCAATTGTCCCTGCACATCTGAAGTAGAATTTATGTAAAAGGAACACACAGGCCAATATACAGAGACAACCTGAAAAGAATGTCCATAGCAGGTTTTACTATTAAGAAGAATGGGTGGGGGGGGGACTCCCTGGTGACACAGGGGTTAAAGACAGCACTATCAAGCCATCGCCAGGCCAGCCAAGCAGCTCGAGTTCCGTCCCTGGCCAGGGAGCAACCCACATGGCGCAGCAGACCTCTCCTGCCTCCCTCAGCAGTGTATTTCAGTCAGTCTGCCTGTTCTGCTCCCCACTCTCTGATGAATCCTCTCACCACTGCTGTAGAAATAAATTCTACTTTTTACCCAGGCAGAGGAAGAACTAGCGGTACTTCAGGAATGGTGAGGTCAGGAAAACTTTATTACTCATGCATGAGGTCCCAGACCTGGGTAGCCCCGAAAGGTCTGAGCATCTGTTTAAAGACCAAGGGATCCTGTTATACACAACTGTCACCATGTCTGTTACATTGATAGCATCATTTTTCAGCAGGCACAACCATTGCTGCAAAGTCCCCACACAAGGGAGGCAAGGCAAGGGGGGAAAAGATGCAGGCATTCGGGGATGGCCTTGGAGAGACAGACCAGCTTGGCCAGCTGCCCTATCTTGTAGATATGAGTTCTGAGGCCCTGGCCATGAATCTTGAAAGGGAAGGAGCTGTAAGTAAGCAAGCTTGTGGATTATACCTGCGTTGAAGTGTTCACTGCACCTGGGCTGGAGTTCTGCTGGAATCTTTAATATATTCATTTGCTCAATAATACATTTCGATTCACCACCCCCACACACCTCTGGCTTACACCCCAGTTTGGTATATATAAATAAATCTTTAAAAAAAAAAGAATGGGAACAAGAAGGTAAGAACTTACAACGGATCAAATCATGTTAACATGCCTGCAGAGAAGTAAAACTGGCAACTATAAACATTAAAAGTGATAGAGAAACTTTCATTTGATAAAGGTTTTAAATTTTATATTTATTACTTATGCTGAGTTTTATGCTATATATTTATGGCACTTGACCATACATTAAAAGACGACAATGAATATTAACCGTGGAATATAACAGAAACTCACTGATTATAACCTCTTGGGACTGCTTAAACCCTCCACTTGCAAAAGCTGCTAATTCCAATAAACAAAGATCAGATCCTTAACTTTCAATGCTAAATGCAAGCAATGACAAACTAAGAAGATTAAATGTGATGACTTCTGCCTCTCTGCACTTAAGCCCTCCCAACCCCTTACAAACAACTCAAAAATGATTAGCTTGGTAGCGGAAAAAGGTGGAAGAGCAACCTTCTAAGTGAATAAAGTTCTCACCTGTGAAAAGACAGATTGAAACCAGGTGCCCGGAGCACGCTCCTCTAGGCAGCTGATGGGGGAAATGGTAATCATGAAATATCAGTTTAATGCAAATTCAAGTCTGTTTATTCCTCCCATGCACTGAGGTCTCCAGTAGTGAATTTAAACTTCTGTTTAAAAGATTTTATTTTATGCATACAAGAGCTTGGGGTGCAAGCCAGAGGTGCAAAGGTGCGCTCCCTACCAGGGAGCTAACCCACATGGCGCAGTAAAGAATCTTCCCTTAGCAACAGAGGAAGCTGGTGTCTTCTAATCGCTTTTCTCTTCCAGAACTTTGCATTATTCTCGCCCATTAATGCCACCCTGATTAAGTGCATTCCGCCCGCAGGGCAGGGCTGAAGTTGCATCCACATGAAACCTCAAACTACACTGTCCCCATCTTATATCTGAGCATGTCCCCACCCCAGTAGCTGTCTAGCATGTCAGCACTGCCCTGCTGCTGTGTCGCGAAAGGGCCCTTTCCAAAGCTACATCACAGGCCGGGGGGGACACTTCAGGCCAGGACGGGAGCTGGGCCTGGGGTGCAGCGTATTCTAGAAAGCCGACACTGACTATCTGAAGAGAAGGGGGGGCGGGGGGGGGCTGAAAACAGGCCTCAGCAGGACCGAGGTAAAGTCTGCGGGCGCCACGCCATTTCAGGGCTGAAAGCAGCCACGGCGCGTCCCTGGGCCCACGTGCTCACCTGAGCAACCGCGGGACTCTCCTCCTCGGCTCTGGCTTCTCGGGCTCTGGCATCTCAAGAAACCACGTCATCTTCACACTCTCCCCTCGGGGCTGCTGCCAACACCCGCCGGCAGGAGGGCCTGGAAACGCTGAAACGCCCGCCTCTGCCGGCCTTTGTCTGGGAAGAGTCCGACCGGGAAGCTTCGCCTTCCCCGGGACAAGGGCTCTCTCCGCCCACACACGGTCACGCGCGCGGCCATAACAGGGAGCGGCCGCCCTGACGCACGCGCGGAGGCGACTCGCGATGGCGCCCTTTACGTCCTGCCTCCCGCCCAAACGCCCCGCCCGAGCACCCGCGCCCCGCCCCCACCCCCTAGCACGTGCTCACCGCCCCGCCTCCCCCGCCCGCCCACTGGCCCACCCCCCCCAACCCCCTCAGCACATGCGCACCGCCCCGCCCCCAGGCCCGCCCGAGCACGTGCGCGCACAGGCCCGCCCCGCCCCCACCCGCAGCCGGAAGACGCTTGGGCGCGCAGGTGCGGGCACTGCGGGCGTTGCCGCTGCTGTGGAGACCGGCAGGCTCGCTGAGCGTTTCTTCAGGAGACATCAGGGCGCGTGGACGCCTCGGGGTCGGGCCCCCTCGAGGTTGAGCAGCTGCGGGCGCATCATGGGGCGCGAACGGCAGCCCCGCGGGGTGTGTCTCTAGGCAGCGGCGCCCCCAGCCCGTTTCCAGCAGCTGTGAGGGCAGGACCCGCGTCCCGCGCGCCCGAGGCCCCGACAGCCCAGAGGCTCTGGGCGGAACTTTGAGCAGGAGGCGGCCCTGAGCGCGTTCGCGGGCAAGGCTCAGCCTGCGGTGGGTGCCCACCCCGGGACCCTGGGCCTCTAGACACAAAAAGAAATCATTTTATTCCTCCTGAACCACTCAAACAGAACAGGTGTAGGGTGTTGTTTCCCTCACCACCATCCTCATCATGTGGTCAACTTACTGCTCCATACAGGGTCCTCACCCCTCCTCGGGCGCTTGGAAAGAAAATCTGTGACTTGTTCCAGAGACTATTCAACCTCCCCACCAACTCTACTAAGCCTTGTCATTTAGTGCTTGAGAAAGCCATGTCCCTCTTGGCATCATATCACCAACACTGGAAAGAAATCTGAAAGGTCTTAGATTTTACTAGAAATGCAAATCCAACATGTTAGCCTGAGTTTCAATGATTCTGACCAAAAAACATAAGATGCCTTAGTGTGTAAGCAAAGAGTAATTATTGTAAAGTCTAGGCCAGGGCAGGGATGGGTCAGGGAACTTAAAACTGCTGCCACCTGCATCCCGGAGACCAGCTAGAGCTGGACCTGATAAGCAGCGATGAAAGAACAACCAGTTCTGAGAGGAAAAAAACTTTGAAAAGCAACTTCGACTCCTGAACCTTGCTGGAGAGCACAATAAAAATCTCTGCCTTTCAGAAACTAGGCCTGACACTTTACTGCGCCAAAACCTTTCAATTATTACACAACAGAGAGCTTTATGTACAAGTTTGTTCCCCTTTCTGTTCCACATTCCATAGGTAGATGTTAAAAAATGCAGGTTTGGATCACAGCTGAAAAAATGAGAACTTAAAATAATTTGAAATTGTTCTGATAACAATACAAGGAATCCAAATAGGAAAAGAAGAAGTCAAACTATCACTGTTTACAGATGATATGATAATATACATAGAGAACCCACAAAAACTCCACAGAAAAACTAATTCAACTCATCAGTTCAGTAAAGTGGCAGGATACAAAATCAACATGCAAAAATCAGTAGCCTTCCTATACGCCAACAATAAATCTGAAGAAGAAGAAATAAAAAAAAATCCCCTTTACTATCGAAACAAAAAAAATCAAGTACTTGGGAATAAATCTAACAAAAGAGGTAAAGGACCTATACAAAGAAAACTATAAAACACTGTTAAAAGAAATAGAAGAAGACACACAAAAAAATGGAAAGAAATCCCCTGCTCATGGATTGGAAGAATAAACATTATCAAAATGGCCATCCTACCAAAAGCAATATACAGATTCAATGCTATTCCAATAAAAATTTCAATGTCATTCTTCAAAGAAATAAAACAATTATTGATGAAATTCATATGGAATCACAAAAAACCCCGAATAGCCAAAGTTCTCCTGAAAAAAAAGAAGGGAATGGAGGCATACACTCCCAGACTTCAAACTTTACTACAAAGCCATAATCATCAAAACTGCATGGTATTGGAACAAGAACAGACACACAGACCAATGGAATCGAATAGAAAATCCAGAAATAAACCCACAGATTTATGGTCAACTAATCTTTGACAAAGGAGCAAAGAATATGCACTGGAGCAAAGAAAGTTTGTTCAATAAATGGTGCTGGGAAAACTGGGTCACTACATGCAAAAGAATGAAGCTTGACTACTACCTAACACCCTGCACAAAAACCAACTCAAAATGGATTAAAGAACTAGACATAAGACCTGAAACCATAAAATATATAGAAGGAAATATAGGCAAAACTACATGATATGCACATCAACGACATCTTTACAGACACATCACCCAAAGCAGTCATAGTGAAGGCAAAGATAAACAGCTGGGACTACATCAAATTAAAGAGCTTCTGCATAGCAAAAGAGACAATAACCAAAACAAAGATACCCCACCAACTGGGAGAACATTTTTGCACACAACACTAATGGTAAAGGACTGATCACAAAAATCTACAAAGAGCTGATGAGACTCAACAACAACAAAGAAAATAATCCAGTCCAAAAATGGGCAGAAGAGCTAAAAAGAAACTTCTCTGAAGAGGAAATGCAAATGGCCAACAGGCATATGAAAAAATGTTCAACATCACTTGTAATCAGGGAAATGCAAATCAAAACTACCATGAGATACCATCTCACACCAGTGAGAATGGCACATATTAAAAAAACTAGCAACAACAAATGTTGGCGAGGTTGTGGAGAAAAAGGAACTCTTCTGCACTGTTGGTGGGAGTGCAAACTGGTCCAACCACTATGGAGAGCTGTGTGGAGATTTCTGGACCTACTAAATAAACATAGAGCTTCCATATGATCCAGCAATTCCACTCCTAGGTATTTAACCAGAGGACACAGAAACATCAATTCCAAAGAGCACCTGTACGCATATGTTTATAGCAGCACTATTTACAATAGCTAAGCTTTGGAAACAACCCAAATGCCCAAAAATAGATGACTGGATCAAGAAGATGTGGTACATATACACCATGGAATATTACTCAGCATTCAAAAAAGAGAAACACATGCAATTTGCAGCAACATGGATGGAGCTGGAAGGGATCATGCTCAGCGAAATAAGCCAGAAAGAAAAAGAAAAATACCGGATGGTCTCACTCATAGCAGGAATCTAGAAAACTTAAATAAGGGACCAGGAAAACGAATAACCATAAGAAAAATATATCAAAATAAACAAACAACTATGAACCAGAGAGACTCTATTGGGTGTGGGGGGCGGGGAAAGGAGGGCTTGGGGTAAAAATAACGGGGTTATAATTGTATGGGGAATATAAAAATAAAATTTAAATTAAAAAAAAAGAAAATGTTCTGATAACAAACATACCTAATGGATTTTCAGGTGGGGTGATAGAATCTGTATTTCTTTTTTTTTAAATATTTATTTATACAAGTACCAGGGTACAGGCCAGAGGCGTGGGAGGGTGAGAGAATTCAACAGAAACAGAGCAGGCAGCAGAACAGGCAGAAGGACTGAAGTACACTGCAGTGGAGAGACAGGAGAGGTCTGTGTCACCATGTGGGAATCTCCCTAGCTGGCTGGGATCGAGCCAGCACTGCAGAGACAGTTCCACAGCGCTGCACTCAACCCGCTTCACCACTGGGAGGCCCAGAATCTGTATTTCACCCGTGTATTGCACAAAACACTTGAAGAACAATGAAACCTGAAGCTAAAAGAAGTGGGAAAAGGGCCTCCTTGGTGGCTTAGTGGTTACGTTTCAGCACAGAAACCGCTATGGCCTGAGCTTGATCCCCCTCCAGGGAGCGAACCCACATATAGAGCAATAGACCTGTCTAGCCCACTGCTCCCCTTAGCAGTGTATTTCAGTAGATCCATCTGTTCTGCTCCTCACTGACTCTGGTGAATTCTCTCTACCCCTGCACCTCTGGCCTGCACCCCAGTTCTATGCAAAAAAAAAAAAGTTGGGGAAAAAAGGAAAAAGAGATCCCTGTGGTGGTCTCCTATAATGTTAAAAATTCCTGTTAAAACGGCATCTTTTGCCTCTTCTTTGGCATCATTGCCTTGGAGTCTTTGCTTTTCTTCTTTTCCTCTAAATAAACTTTACTTTCTTGAAAAAAAAAATTCTGTTAAAATGTGGGAATTAGATGGAGCTGGGAAAGGGCTGCGCTCCCCGCCAGAGGTGAGCTGAAAAGCCCCCACAAGTTAGTCCCCATCCAGCCAAGGGAGCCCAGAAGGGGATCCAGTTAGCACTGGGGCAGACCGAATGTGCAAGGAAGTGCCTCCCAACTGGCCATTTTAGATCAGGAACTTTTTGTGTGTCTGCAACACACCTAGACTGCATGGAGCTGGGAAAGGCTGTGCTCCCAGCCAGGTGAGCTGAAAAGCCCCCACAAGGCAGTCCCCATCTGGCCACCAGAGCCCAGAGGGGGATTCATTCAGCGCCAGGGCAGAACGCTGGTAGACAGAAGTGGCCTCCCGACTCCCCATCTTTGATCTGGGACCTTTGGCATGTTCACAACACTCCTAGACTGTGTGGAGCTGGGAAAGGGCTGTGCCCACAGCCAGAGGTGAGCTGAAAAGCCCCCATAAGCCCAACCCCATCTGGCCACGAGTCTGAGCCCAGAGGGGGATCCAGTGATTTGGAGCCCAGCAGGCGATCCTACCACCACAGTGTAGACTGTAGGACCAAAAGACCCTCCATGGAATTAAACAAATACAGAAGGAGGAGATTCTCTGTGACAGCGACCACTAACATATTCATAGTACTACTGCCCTACTGGAATTCAGGCATAATTTTTTGACTTGACTGGACCACTAGTTTCCAACATCCCCGAAAGAGCACACCAAAAAGATGCCGACCAATACCAGCGACACAGTGTCCCAACACATAGGACAAATTAGAAAACAAGCAGCAGGAAGAAGAAAAACTACATGCAACCAAGCAAGTCCTCAGGAAAAGGACACACTGCAAAAAGAACACCACCCACAGATTGCAAC